TTTTTATCGACTCTCTTTTTTTCTATTGCGCCACACGTCTATCGATCGATATATATCGTTATTGAATTATCGCCCAGCCCTACGTTACCCTATAGCAGGGGTCTTTAACATTTTCCAAACTGATGGCGAGATGGAGCGGGGACCCGCTAATCATACTTAGAGATTGTGTTCCTACAAACTGCTCCTATAGTCACTCTATTACAGATGGAGTAATGTAACTAAAGTAATCCCTCCCTGGGATTATTAAAGTATTTCTGATTCCTGGTTGATGGGACAGGTGTTGTGAATGAAACGGTGCCCAGTTTGAAAGAGCTCCTGTGTGTCGCTGAATGTGTGCATCGATCATGGGCGGTTCTAGACAGGGGCCAATGGGGTTCAGTGCCCCTGTAGATCATGTTATGGCCCCTGTACTGAAGACATAATACTCAAGAAATTCTACTGATGATCTGCGCTGGAACAGACATGGTTACTGATGGGTCCTTTTAGTAATTATTTCAAAACAATTAGGTGATAAATTCAGTGTTATTGAGATATGATCCCAGTTTTCATCTGCTAAATGTTTTTTCAAAACAAATTGGTCTAATTTTTATGGCTGAATTTAGTTTTTCTTGAGTTCTAATTCAGATTTTATAGAAAACGGTTATTTTAACTTAAATAATGTCAAAAATATGTAAAATTATGAATGTATATTGACATAATAAGAAATAGAATTTTAATTAAACCTAATTGAATATAAATTTCATGCTTTTCTTTTCCCCAATGAAAACACGCTGGCCCCCTGCTGGCCCCCTGCTGGCCCCCTGGTACATTTGGTCTAGAACCGCCACTGGCATTGATGACTGAAAGACATCTTCTGCCTCCATTTATCTGTTTACTACAGTGTGTTTAATTCATGTTAATGTGGATTTAAAGACATTTCAATTAGTGGAAAAAATTGCAAGTCTAATGAACAAGAACTTTCGCAACCCCCATGCAGTACCTCCGGGAACCCCTAGGGGTAGCAGACCCCCTGTTGAAGACCTCCGCCCTACATGATTGGCTGAACATTGCACATGATGTAAAACATTGTGGTTGCCCAGGCAACGATAATAACATCACGCAGCGTCTGTTAGCGCGTCTAATGACCGATGAAGTTTTAACTGATGGAAAATGGAGGAAATCTGTTTCTGGTGAACAAAGTAACTGTTAGACCATAAATTAAACGGGGAGAGCTGGGTAGCGCTGTGGCTAGCTGTAGCTAACAGGTTAGCCTCTTTTAGCTCGCTCAGTTAGCCATATTAAGCTACGCTACTTTTAACTTGATGTCAACAACCGTTCGTTTTCTGCAAGTAAAATAACTGTTTTATTTGTCTAAAATCTCTACAAAAGTAATTTTTTAAGATGCTCCATGTGTCCTCTGCCCTCAGATCTTAATAAAAAGAATAAAAATAAGCTGAGACTTTTAGTGTCTCCTTGTTAAATAGCAGAACTCAGTCTTTCTTAGAAGGCAGGACTTTCCTTCCAGACTGACAATGATTGTTTTCTACTTTCTGCTACTTTAGATTGCTGATAAAATGTAAAATAATAGCAAATATAGGAAATATGTTAAAACTCTAAAAGAGATTTGATGCTTAAGAAACGGGCGTAATAAAGTTTGTCCGAGTGGAGTTGCCATATGATGACATCATAAGAAGGGGCGGGGCCCCAGCAGATCTGGTTCCTACAGCGGAAATTAAAGTTTGACAAATGTCTTTTTCATAAAAGGTTCAGATGTTTTTTTCAGATTTTATTTTTTCTAAGTTTTTTTTTCTTTACAGATTTAAGTTTTTCACCTTAGAGTCGAAACAAATGGCCACTCTTGACTCGGGCATTAACCTGTAAAATTATCTTAACTCGTCGCTCTGAGGAAAGCCCGCCTTCGCAAAGGAAGACGTGATCTGCACACAATTTAAAGAGAAAGCACTTTGGAGAAAACTGAACTCAAATTGAAAAAGAGAAATTAGGAAAAAAATATTAAATTAATTTTAAAAATTCGATCTGAAAAAAATTGGAAGAAATAAAATATGTTTTTTTTTTTCAAATAAATTGCTTTAAAAAAATAGGGGGAAATAGGAGTTACTCTCAAAACCTTTTTTTTAATACAAAATGTCAATTTATTTCAATTTCCAACAATTATGGAACAAAATTAAACCCATAAATTTGGGCTTTCCAGTAAACCGAACCAAAGCTCTGCTAATATTTGAGCTAATTTAGGCTGTTAGATTATTTGAAAGTGTTTTCTGCTCCCCCTTCATATCTGTAGTTGAGCAAGTCACGTATTTCCTAATTGCTCTCAATGAAGCATGCAGGGTAAAAGTGCAGGGCTGCCCCGAAGATCCCAGGGATCAAAAGACGCATTCATGCCCAGTTACCTCCTTCACTGGTTTAAAAATAAAAGAAGGCTGGAGAACTGATGCATTTACTGCGCTAATTAGCTTTAAACGCTTCGCCCAGACCCAGCAGCCCCGGCGACGGCGGCCTGCTTTCCTATCTGCAGGATCGCTGGGTTTCAGTCGTTAACCCTCATCGGACCTTTGAAGGAACCGTGTCCTGAAGCAGAGCCTGGGCTAAGAAAAGCCGTCCTGTGGGAAGGGCAGGGAAACGGGAAAGCTGCACGGAGGTTTGCTCTGAACAAGGAAACATTTATCCTTTATGGAAGTGGGCAGCTGAATCCTGGAGCCGGTTATCCCAGAGTCAATCTTAAACTGGAGGAACGGACGAGTCCAAAGGTTTTAAAACCTGCTGTAAACCAGAGGACAGAGCTTTACGGCTTGAGGGGCTGAAGGAAAACATTTATGGGTTAAACAGAATTTCTCAGTCCGGGCTCATATTGGTCATGGTATCCAGCCAGAGTCCTCTCCTCTTTGGGGAAACCTTCTGTCAGGGTTGGTGGATACTTGTAGTGAACCCATATGCAGATTATAACAGGCACATATGATTTCTAGCAAAATTTAAGTAAAAATACAGAATCCATAGTCCAGAACTGATCGCCGAGAAGATCTAGAACCAAAATCCAAGGAGACACTAGGGAGGAATAAACCTAAAGAAAGACAAAGATCCAGCAACGGGAAACTGAACAGGAAGTGTGTTTATGGGAGACAGAAACAATGGGAGGAATAATTGGCTGATAGGGAGCAGACGGAGACAGAAGTAACTAGAAGGAGCTGAGGGGAAAGGAAAGGACACTAGGGGGCAGCAGAGAATAACCAGGGAGAAACAACAGGATCCAAAGGTAACTTGAGAGGAACTTAAAGGAAAAGTCCGGTCAGCGAGGAAAAATCAATGGGAACTACTAGACACATCTGCAATCTACAACAATTATTGAAGATTTCCAGAGGACTTCACCATTGAAATTCACCAGAGTTATAGTGAAACTGACAATGCCCACGTGCATGGCAGCTGGATGCTGGAATACATCGGGTAAAAGTGGAAAAAAAAAAAGAGTTATTCCACCTATCAGATTCATGATTCGTCGTTGGACTTCTGGCCGGAGAAAAAACCCGTAATATGTAGCCAACATTTGGAAGAAGAATGTTTTCAAGATGACTTGGATAATAGCGCGTTGTGACAAACACCAGATACAGCACTGGGACTTGATCAACAGCCGATACCCCACCGTGACGTCACTAACCAGTAGGTGGCAGTAGTGTTCTTTGACAAACATGGATGCCTCCAGTAAAGCACATTCACATGGAAATTACTCTGAATTAAAAACACTGATCATTTATTGAACAGGATGGAATCATTTCAGATTTAAAGAACTTTCAGACGTTTAGATTCTGAATATTAACGGACTTTTCCTTCCTTTCCTTTTGACTAGAAAAGAAGGAATGACCAAGGGAAGGACTGGGGATAACTGAAGCCATGGAAAAACTAACTTAAGATAAGAGAAAGAATAATTAAAACTATACCAAGGAATAAATAACACCAAAAATGTTGAAGAAAATAGATAAATATGAAGAAAACAAAAATGATCTAAGTCTAGACAACAACACAGAACAAAAAAAGCAAAGTTGAGAACTTTATAACACCAAATTTAGCTCTGATAAGAGCATGAATTCTGTACTTATCATCTTTAATGTTAGTATATTTATGTGCATAATTACCCACAGTGTTTTTGTTGTCAAGTAGTTGTTAATATATGAAAAATTAAAATGTTTTGAATAGGGCTGGTCAACGATTAAAAGTTTTAATCGCGATTAATCTCATGATTTCCCTGATTAATTGTGATTAATCACATTTCTATACGCAAAAAAAAACAATAATGAATTCAAAAGTAGCGTATAGCACAATTTTATTTTAAATGTTCTGCCATACTAAAGGAAATGCCATAACATTTGTTCTGCAAACACTTAACATCAGCATTTTGTTTATACAGTAGCAGTTAAATAAAAACTGCCCACAAAATCCTGAGTCACAATCATAACTTTAAAACCGACAATTTCTGAGGCAAGAGCAGAATTTTTTATTTTTTTATCAGGGAGCAGCATAACCGGTTCCGGTACTTTTAGTTTTACCAAATAAAAGCCTGGGAGCAACAGACTTTTACAGTAATAAAAGAAATAATAAAAACTGCGTTAATACGAGATAAAATAATTGATTGATGAGTTAACGTGATAATAACGAGTTAACTCGCCCAGCCTTAGTTTTAGATATTCACTTGAGAGTTTTACTGCTGCCTCCGTCTGTATTGGAGGGAAAAATTTGGTAGGGGTGGCCATTGGTTGGCTAAGGGTGGCTATGGCCCCCCATCTAGCTCCGCCCCTGCTGTTCCCGGCCTTGGACCGTCACATTGGGCCTGACGGTTTCAATGAGTCTAGAATTACAGTGAAGGTATTAGGAGTTTTTAAGGATCATTGATCTGATTGGAGAAAAAGCTGAAGTTTAGCCATCAGGGAGCGTTGGTGGAGGATTTATCTCTGAGTCAGAAATATCCGCCTGAAGGCGAGGCCGCCGCTCTAATCTGATCTTCGTCTCTGCAGAACCTGATGGCCAAAGCGCTGTACGACAACGTGCCAGAGTCTCCAGAGGAGCTGGCCTTCAGGAAGGGGGACATCCTGACCGTCATCGAGCAGAACACCGGCGGCCTGGAAGGATGGTGGCTCTGCTCTCTGCACGGCCGCCAGGGCATCGCCCCCGGCAACCGCCTCAAGCTGCTGATCGGCCCCATGTTCGAGGCCCAGCCGTCCGCCGCCGCGCCGTCTCCCCCCCAGGGGCTCCAGCAGAAGGTGGGCTCGGGGGCCCCGGGGCCGTACGGCCAGCAGCAGGGGATCTACCAGGTTCCTACGGGACAGGAGGTCTACCAGGTCCCACCGAGGAGCGGGCTAGCTGCTGAGAGCCCCCCCAGCAAGGTGAGCGCCTCCATCTCTTTATCCCTTCATCTGATTCTCCATTAATGATGAGATGAGAAATGATGGTGTTTCCTTTCTGGAGCCGATCTCTCTGATTAGTGTTTGATTAACGACAAGCGAGGAGCTCATTAACGAGCAGCTGGAGAAACGGGCATTCATCGTCTGTCTAAGTGGTCTTCATCAATAGTTCTCCAGGTTTTTACCTTTTTCTCTGTCACTGCAGCGTTTTCCTAGATAATCCCTCATCAGGTAGAAATCTGTTAAGTAGAATGGATCCTGGGTTTGCAGCAGAACCATCTGTGGTCCGTTTGGGTTTCCCTTCAGGAACCGAGCCTCCAGCCGCCGACGGAGGCTTCCTGCTGCCATTGTCTTCTCTCCGCTCATCCAGGTTGCTTTAGGCCCAGGGGCGGATTTAGGAAATGTGGGGCCCTAGGCAAAGAGAGGCAGGGGGCCCTCTGAAAGGAGAAGAAGGCACATAAAACAGCTCCATTATGCAGATGCTCTTTGCATCGTTTGTTTTAATATTTTACTGTCAGTCTAACCCATCGCTGATATCAATATTTCTATAAATATCGGCTGCTCAGAGCGAGTCTCTTTTCCTCTGCAAACATTTTAATCTTAGTCACTTTTACAGTAAATGACTAAATGTCACCTTAATTTGAGCACGTAGGAAGATTTGCCAAAGAATTTGATTATTTAGGTTTAAAATAGAAGCAACTGTATTATCTGTACTGAAAAAACAATCTAGAAAAAAGTCAAATTTTCTGAAATAAAGACTATTTCTAGGGATGCACGATATTGGGATTTTGGCCGATATCCAATATGCCGATATTTTAAAACTCATGTAGCCGATAACCGATATCGATACCGATGTTAAAGCTGGACAAAAAAAAGTAGTCATTGAAAATAGCAGTTCTGTTATCCATTTCTGACACTTTGAAAAATAATATACTAAATATATCAAATATATTTTCATATGCTGATATCAAATAGATTTTTAAAAACGCGGTATCGATCTATTTTACTTTCAGAATGTCATGAAATTTTATCGTTCTGTTACAAACTCGTAATATTTTTTGAAATTCTTGTGAGATTTTGTTAGTAAAATAGATCGATACCGCGTCAATATATCAACATATAAAAATATGGCAACATTTGGTGAATTTTCGGGGGATTTCGTAGCATAACCATGACATATAGCAATATTTCATTAGTAAAAGAGATTGATATGGTGTTTTTAAATGGCAATATATCAGCATATGAAGATATTGGGATATTTTAATGGATCAATATTTTTTCCCTCGTCTTTAGAAGTTTTTAAGTCTGTAAAAACAACGTTTTTTTTAGACTTTAGAAACTCAGAAGCTGATCAAATATCGGGTTAAATATCGGTGGGGTGGCCGATGTCCGATATTCAGTTTTAAGGCCGATACCGATAGGGGGCCGATTCTATCGTGCATCCCTAGTTATTTCCCTTAATTTGAGCAGGTAAATAGAATGATTATATATTTTTACTCTTAAAATAAGATAATTAGATACGATGCAGTTGTTTTTTCTTATTTTAAATGTAAAGCGTCTCACTCACCTCCTCAATTCAACAAAAAATGAACTTACTTATTTAGATTTCATTTTTTTGCTGTGTAATCTTCATTCCAATGGTGGACCAGCTAAATAGACGTGTTTTAAGGCATTTCTGCTTCTTTTTAGATCAGTTTAGTCTAGAATTGTAATTTTCATTTGATTTGGCCTCTTTCCACCAAAACAAACCTTAGAAGATCAATTTCCGGCTGTTCTTGGGAACATGGAGGTTTTTAATCCCGTCGTTTGCATCAGGTCTGAGCTGGAAGCATTTTCGCTCGTTTAACCGTCTAACTGCTTGCTGCTCCGCGGCCCGATCGGCCCTCCAGGAGGACGGAGGGTAATTAGACGCTGATTGAGTTTTTGACGCCACAGGGGTCTTTTTATTCTTTTTTTTTTTTCCTCCTATGAATGCGATCCGCCCGGGCCCGGCTGTGTGTTTTAGCCGGTAAACAGGAGGCGGCTTAAAGGACACGTCTGTCAAACGGCTGCTTTAAAGTTGTAGGGAAAAATATTTAAATGTCAAATCATTCTGGCTTAAACATGTATATAAATGTTCTCTTTATCAGAACATATTGTCCCAAAAGTTAGAAAACTTCTATTTAAAAAAAAAAAAAATCTTAAAATCTGTGTTTTTTCCTCGTTATCTTCTGCAGGCCAGTTAGTTCTACATCATCAACGGTCATCTGTCAATCAAATGTTTTCGGTCATAGCATCTTGATTCATGTGTCGCAGCTAATATACGCAACGGTTGAAACCAGAATCCTTTCCTTTCCCATTGAGTTGCGTCCCAGTGTTCACGGGGATGGACGTCTGTGTCTTCGGCAGGCGTAGCGCTAACAGATTTCGGGGTAACCGAACAGAAAACCGTGGCCACGAAACCGTGAACCGAACCGTGGATTTTGTGAACCGTTCCACCCCTAATTCGGACAGCAGAATTAACTTTTTGGAGTCTGTTTGGTTAAGATCAGCTAAACTGGTTCCAGTTGGTTTGAGCTGGACTTCCATTTCTGAAAACAGTTGGATCGATTGGATTCTGTAGAAGCGTGTTCCTCATGGTTCAGCGGTCCCGGGGCCCCAGTACGGGTTTTTCCTGGAACACGGAGCCCATCTCTCCCAGCAGGAGCTGCTGAACCAGTATCACCAGTAGAGATGGAGCTTTTAGCCACAGAGGAAGTTTTTTTTTTGCCGTTCTCTTTGGGTTCTGGTTTGGTGCCGGCTGAGCTCGGTACGCCCCGCGTGTTTCTTTGCCTCTTGATGTGGTTCTGGTGCAGAAATGGACCCTGAGGTTTGGCTCTTTGGTTGGATGTCCTTGAGGAATCTAACCTTCATATTCTGCCGTCTCCTTCAGCTGTTTTAAAATCTGAACCAACGCGGTGAACCCGAGGTCCAGCCTCCGGTGCTGCTAAAATACCAGAACTTATTGGTTTTTCTTTCTGGTTTCCTTCGACTTGAGGAGGAATCTGTAACGGTTTGAGTTTTCAAAGCGTAGAGACTTTGGTGACGCTTTTGGCGCAGTGGAGCCTGCCTTCCTCCAATGCATTTTTATTGGTGAGGCTGATTTATGAGCTTGGGAGGAATCTGAGAGGAGCGTCTGAATGATCCGTGCAGCTCTCACTTATCGGCTGTCAGGATTGGCCGGCGTCGGTCAGAGGAAAACAACCAACCCTTTGTTGAACAGTCTGCTTACCTGAAGGTTTATCAAAGACGACGGCACGCCCTGCTAGCCCCATAAACGCTCATCAGAGCACTTCCTGAATTTAGGCTGCAGTTCATTAAACCTTTTGTTGCAACGGAATAAGGACGAGGGGGGGGGGGGGGGGGGGGGGCGTCAGGAAGAGATGAAAAGAGAATGGTGTCTGGAAGGAAGAGATAAGAGCGAGATTTGAACTCTGAGGCCGTCTTTAAACGCCGTGACCTGACGTCTGAGTCAGAGGAAGAAATGGGCAGCAGGGGTGGATTTAGGAAATTTGGGGCCTGGGGCATTCAGAGAAATGTTAATAGAACAGACATCCATTATCTGTTCTAGGTTGTGTCCCTCTCTTCTTGTCCCTTTTCTTCTTGTTTTCCTCTCTATGTTTTATACTCAGCTGACTTTTCATGCTGTCTCTAAAGGAATGAAAGATTTTTTCCAAGCACTAAGCTCACTTAGCTGATTGCTCCTTCCTGTGTTTCCAAAAAGGCCAAAGTAAATAACCCAGTCATTCTTTTCACTGTAGACAAGCCATGATCTGCTTCTCTGTTCTCCATGTTTCATTTGGATGAAATAATAGCTGCATGAATCATGACAGCAGACAAGATAGAGGAGAGCAGGAGGCGGGGTTACCAATCTACTCGCTCTGGAGAGCAGAGTTCGCTGCTTTTAGATGTTGTCTCCAAAGTCTCCAGAAAAAAGTCTCTAGATTTGGCGCTAGGAGCTTTTTAGAAATCAAAGTGCTAGAGGGGTCTGAAAAGTGGCTAAATATAGCGACTAAAGCGCTAAGTTGGCAACACTGCTCTTTGCATGGTTTGTTTTCAAATGGTTTGCTGCTGTCTGTTTGGACCTTTCTGAACATGTGCAGCAAATGGACTGATCCAATATGGTGGACACTGAAGGGGGGGGGCTGAGACACACTTAATATTATCAGCGTTCTGATGGCATTTTAGCAAAAACATAATTAATTTGCACCAATAAGGAATAGTTGTATTAACCAAACATTTAAGCAGAGTTTTATGAGGCCCTCAGGAACTTGGGGCCCTAAGCAACTCCCTAGTACTGCCTAATGGTAAATCCCCCCCCACTGAGTGGGTTGCTCTGTTAGCTAAAGGCATGTTTATTATTAATTTATCAATTACTGAATTAGTTGACAGTTATTTCAATTAGGGATGCACGATATAATCGGCCCCCTATCGGTATCGGCCTTAAAACTGAATATCGGACATCGGCCACCCCACCGATATTTAACCCGATATTTGATCAGCTTCTGAGTTTCTAAAGTCTAAAAAAAAAATACTTCTTCTTCTTCCTCAAAAACTTCTTTTTTACAGACTTAAAAACTTCTAAAGACGAGGGAAAAAATATTGATCCATTAAAATATCCCAATATCTTCATATGCTGATATATTGCCATTTAAAAACACCATATCAATCTCTTTTACTAATGAAATATTGCTATATGTCATCGTTATGCTACGAAATCCCCCGAAAATTCACCAAATGTTGCCATATTTTTATATGTTGATATATTGACGCGGTATCGATCTATTTTACTAACAAAATCTCACAAGAATTTGCAAAATATCACGAGAGTTTGTAACAGAACGATTAAGTTTCACGAGATTTTGAAAGTGAAATAGATCGATACCGCGTTTTTAAAAATCTATTTGATATCAGCATATGAAAATATATTTGAGTATATTATTTTTCAAAGTGTCAGAAATGGA